CAGTGCAGACAAACCTTAAACAGTCCAAGTAAACATAGTGCAAACAAACCTTAAACAGTCCAAGTAAACATAGTGCAAACAAACCTTAAACAGTCCAGTACATAGAGCGATATGGCTGCACATACACACTCTTGCACTATGGGACGTTTCAAAACACCAGTTCATCATACTGCATGTCTTTGGACAAGAAGAGGAAATGAGAATACCTGGAGGAATCCTGTGTGAGATGAGAAGAACATGCAAACTCCACGCACACAGAGCAGAGGCGGGATTCACACCCCCAACCCCGGTGGTGTGAAGCTAAAGTACCACCCAGAGTTACCGCACCACCCTAATGACAGTCTTCATCTCTTAAAGGCATACTGTACCAAAAATACTACCTTAGATAAATGACTAATTTTAATTATAAATGCAGATCCCTTTAAATGAAAAATGCAAATGCGGCACTGAAGCTGACAGCGTCCAGCTTTACAGAGCGGAGGACCTTCTTTTTTTCTTTTTTACAAACATAATGCAAAAGCAGGCTGAGGTCTGCATGCAGGTATGACACTGCTGGCTGCCGGTGATGTGGCCGATTGCTGAAGATGGACCTCGGGGTCTCCGGCAAAATAGGCTGCGTACTGAGGGCTCTGGGAGGGCCTATAATTCTCCTGGTGAGAATTTATACACGGGGGGTGTTGGGCTCCAGATATTCCACCAGCCTATGCCCACAAGTACTGCCCAGACAGACAAATTCGAAGCAGCACAGGAAGTGAATTATTTAACGTCATGCGCCATCAGGTCAGCATACTGTGGATCTTGGTATCTAGATCAGGTCATACGTTGGGTTTACCTGAAACTCATCCTGGTGCACGCCCAGCGAGACGTTGACCCCCATCCACAGGTCATCCGTCCCCCGTCTGTTGTGGAAGACCGTCTGGTTTTCCTGGTGTAGAGAGAAGGTTTTTCCTAAACATAGCATGTCCCGAAGCAGATTTCCATGAATGAAAAAAGTCATACGGGGAAAGGCTCCCTTCACTCAGCTTTTATAACGCATCCAAAGTGCCCCATTTGTCCAAACGAGGCACGCTTTTTTTGCTCAAAACCAGACATGAGTCATTCGAACCTCTGTCACACGTTGCCATGGAGACACAGATGCCACAGAGCACGGCTCTTTAACAGGCCGCATTTACTTTCCATATCTCTGCCTCTCAGCACTGATCCTCCATGAGTGATTCGCTGCAAGCGCCCCATGGAAGCAGTGCAGCGACAGAAGGAGGAATTAACTACAAAACATGGGGAGGAAATAGTGTGTGGCTGGCTGGAGAAGAGTCCTCTGTGCTGAAATCATGAAACCTGCTGTGGCTCAAACAAAGCAACCAGACGTGTATATATACACACACACACACACACACACACATATATATAAAAACACACTCCCACCACACCTCCATCTCCATAACTCTTAATCATTTCAGGATCATGGTAACTTTATCCCAGGAGGCCTAGGACACAAGACAGGGGCGAGGCTGCAGGGTCACACGCCCCAGCTGATAGCTGATTGGCTCCCAGGGTGCCAACTCCCGTGTCACTCACCAATTTGAAACATATCATTGGGTGACAAGGTTGGCCACTCTGCATGAATTACGGCCTCTGTTATGGCCCCCAGCTCTAGAATCCTAAAATCACCCCTGCTCAATGACGATATATAAGAGTTACATTATATATAATTACATGTTTTTTACAGCCTCATCATTCTTTGAGTTGTTGTTGCACAGGGAATCCATAGGGTTTTAAGCGAGACCATCACTGAGTGAACATTTTAAAGTCCTCCTGTGCACCTTATAAAAACTAGACGATAACATCTCTGCTGGCCTTGGATTATTTAAGCCCCCCCCCACACCCCCATCAATAATATACAATTGTTCATATAAATCTATATTAATTGACAATAAAACCTTGGCCTATAAATGCTTAAATACTGCCGTACTCACTCATGGAAGTTTAATGATTCCAAATAACAATGTAATAAAAAACAGGAGCAATATCTCTTCCGAAATCTGACCTTAGAACAGTTTTGGGGACACAGTCTCATGATTGGTCAAAACATCCACGCTCTTGTGATCAGCACACTCTGAACATTTAAGCTCTGTGGTCGGGGCAGCACGATGGTATTACCTCACTGGTCTGTAGCCACACTGTCAGCTCAGCGCCGTCCCAGAGGGCATGGTGAAAATGGAGGGTGCAGGCAGACCCCGGAGCACGGTAGCGGGGGCTCGCAAGAAGGGCAACTTTGGGTATGACTACAGGATTACCAGAGATCCGGAGATAATGACCTGAGAAGCAAGATAACATGGGATGCCGCTGTTCATCATGTACCAGTCAATCAGTTAAAGTATGAGGCTTCTATCAAGTAGGTCATGGTGCAGCATCTCTGTTCCATGCGCCCTCTACTGGTGTTTTGGTCATGCCACTTAATTTGTGTTATCATTTCAGATGGCGATGGTGTTCACCTGGTCCTAATTTCTGTTATAATAGAAATTGTGGCCAAGCAGAGGAAAATGGACAACAGCTTTCCCGTCAGCACCGAGCCATTTTGTTAACCACTGATGTTGTTTTGCTATGGAGGTTTCTTATAACGTCATTTTTGAGGTTTTGTTTCAATAGGTTAGTTTCTCTTATGAGGTTTAGGAGGATATGTCTGGGTCTCACAGCCAACTGCTTGGCTGGCCCAAGGCTATCTTCAGCTTGATTGGAGCTACTAGCTTTCCTCCCTATGTGTTGAAAGTTGAGTTGTGTTTGATATTAAACTTCTGAATCAGGCCTTTGTTTTGGTGTTTCAGTAAGTCACAGTCCCATTCGGAGCCTTAAATATTTTAGGCATCTTAACAGCACCCTTGTACACTAGTGCTTAATGACCTTCAGGCTAGCAGTAGTAGCCTGAAGGTTTTCAATTCAAGGACCCTGAGAGATGATGTTCTATCGGTCAGAGTGAGAGCTGAATTATTAAGGTAAAATACCAAGCTATACACAAGGCAAGAAACCAGAATGTTGGTCAAGAAAACAGGTAATAATTACGCGAGTTTGTTTGGGTTATTTTTGTGGTGTTAAAATAAGTAGACTAAAATGAAATCTGGTCATTCATATATATTGGACTAGTCATATCTGCATTCCCTTTAGTTATTCTACAGAACAAAATATGAATTATATATGTATCCAACTCTGCATCCAACGCTGCCTGGGATTGCCATTCCCATCCCATATATTCCCACCCTCCCACGCAGTCCCATGACCCAGACCTACAATAGCACGCTAGATGTGGATGGATGGACACACACTCTATATATTTACACTACATTAAATGAACGGTTATTACTTTGCCATTCAAAAAACATGATTTTATTGAATTTTTGTTGGTGTGAGACTTTGCAAGTGGATCCTTTATGATATCATTATGTTAATGACCCATGACTTGGATGCAAATTTTCAAATTAATAGTGAGTTTCATTGAATTTTCAGCGAAAAAGGCCCAATAAAACATACACACATCAAAAGTGCATTTGCATTTACACACTTCCCCGCATTCATAAATGCGGCAGGTGGCAGGGTTACCAGCTGTGGTTTTTAACCAGTTTATAGCCTTTATGGGGTCAGCCTGCCCTGTTGCCTTTATCACTTCTGACCTAAAAGCCTTACTGGAACATGAGCACATCCAAGTTGTCATTTGCAACCCCCCCCCCCTTCATCTAATGGCTGAAGGGACGCAATCTCTTATGACTTTTGCGGGTGTTACACACCAGAGCTCTGTAAGAAATTAAGATTTTCTATCTTGCAATGAACCAAGCTATTCCAAAGCAGCATCCATTTTTTGAGAAAGCAGTCCCTGGGGCAAACAGGGGTTAAGGACCTTACTCAAAGACCCCATGTTTTGTTATTTATTCTATGGTTTTGTTTAACACTATTGCTATGTGTGATGCTTAAACTAAGTTAGCCTATTAGCTCATCTCGTTGTGCATGTGCACCGTGACAAGGAAGCTGACCGCGAACCAATGGTGAAATCACTCAGCCAATCCTGGGATTTGAACAGGCAACCTTCCGATCACACGCACAACGCAGTACCCAAACCTGCAGACCCACACTACACACACGAGAACTACAACGTATAGATCTACTTGGCATAAAATTTAACCCGGCTACCCACAGGAAAGATCTATAGTTGTATATATGCTATAACACAGGCACATTGAATACATCTGTCGATTATTAACCAATTCCTGACAATGAGAACATCACGCATAAAAGATGCATGAAGAGCATCAGCGACGAACTGGCTTTGGGTTATTGATGCCCTCAGGCTCTTCACATAAAGAATGTTGGCTGGCCCCGCTTGGCCCGACTATCTAAGGTGATAAATGGGGTCAGATGGGGGGAAGAGAGGAGCGATAGAGAGAGCTGGAGGGCTGCTGGGTTTTTTGTTTTCATTCTGTTTTCTGTGTGTGAGGTCCTCTAATGGGGTTCTGTGCTTTCCTGAAATAAAATGTCTCATTTGATTAAACCCTGCTGTGCTGCATCTCCTCCCCACAACTCTGCTGCGTTTCATTTGTCCAGAACGTGTTGTTTAAAAATTAGCTCTCACACCTCAGCAGCTGTGACAGACAAAGAAAGCTGCCCCCCCCCCTGCCACCCCCCCCTCCAAGGCTCTGACTGGTGCAGGTCATACCATGGGCGGAACCTTGGCTGTGGTCCACAGTGGGTGCGCTGGCACTGCGGACGGCACCCTGGCCGCTCACCCTCCTCCATAATGCGGGTCCCTCCGTCTGCCACCCACACAATCCTGATTCGAATCCGCAGCCCTCCTCTGCAGAGAGAGAGAAGGACTTGGTCTGAACCACGTCATCCAAAAGGGGGGGGGGAGCCTGGGATTCAAGGGGTGTATACAGGAGTGGGGACCTTCGGAAAGCTGAGTGGTCCCCGGCCTGCCCCCTCCCCGGCACTGACCGATTCAAAACATATCATTAGCTAATCGTAAGGTTGGCCCTGATGTATGAATTATGGCCCCTGTTGTACCCCCACCATAAAAAATTCTAGAATCGCAACTGCTTCAAAGTCATTAATATTCCAACACTGTCACTGGCCATTGTGATATTGCACTGTGATATTGGTTAGCCTATCAGCAATGAGTAGCCATTGTGGTAGCGATTGTTGTTACAAGGCTAAGTTTGAGAACAGTGTTTGAATATAAAATGCATTCAGTGTTTTGTGTGAGGTAGATAGAAAAGAGATTTTGTTGAAATAATTATCTAGCCATTTCCCCCTCTTTCAATCCCATTCAACCAAGATGAGAGATTCTGAATGCTTTTACTTCAAGGCTGTGCTAATCAATCCAGTTTCTGGGGGCTGAATGGTGTTTTGATACCTGGGTCCTCACTCATGTCACCACAGTACTCCTTAGGAGATGGAGCTCTTGGCCGGTTATGGCAAGGCTTAGTGTGAATAACATGGGTTTAGGATGTGCTATGACTGGGGATGTGTGTGGGTTAGCATTACTATGCCTTGGGTTAGCATGGCTCTGTCTTGGGTTAGCATAACTATGCCTTGGGTTAGCATGGCTGCCACCTGTCCCAGTTTTCCCGGGATTATTCTCTTTTTTGAGCAACTGTCCTGGAAACTTTATATTCTTTTCCAGGGCCCGAACTGTCCTGTTTATTTTTTATTTTTTTGTACATTTTTGTACACACGTTTTCATAGTTTCAAATAAAACCTCACTTGGTTTCCATTTACCACTATTCTTTTTTCTTCCTGGTTATGTTTATATATCCAGTCCTGTGTCCGTAAACGGTCAAAAACAGGTAAAACACAGCGAAGATTGGCCAAGTTTATACTTTTATTTGATTGGTAGCAGAAATACGAAGCTTACCTTATTACCTAGCATGTGGATGCGCTGGCGGTCTGCCATGAGCATTCACATCCATGACCTCACCGTAACTTATATTGCTAGCTAGAGGTAACATTAGTTAAAAAAACTTTATAGTTATTTGGTCAGTTTCATGAAATGGGCGAGTGATGGGCGAGGAGGACGATTAAACAATATCGGACGAGCCACTGGCATCAATGAAAAAGTGATTTACAATGTACAACTGAATGAGCTAAAAAACCTTTCTGAATGGATGAAGCACCACCAGATACTTGGGAGATATTGCACAAAGCAATATCTTAAGCCAGACTTAAGCCAAATTTGAAAACTGTCCAATAGGAGGAGAGATTAGCGACATTCCATTTGGACAATCCTTATGTATGGCTTAAGTTATTTGGCTAAAGAATAAAGTCTGCATTGTGGAATACTTCTCCTGTTTTGTGCCCAGCCAAAATTTCAGTTAAATATGCATTTAACAGGCAGTGCTGGAAATTCGTGCAAAAACAAAGTAGCACCAGAGCTTTGCATTAAGCAAACGGAAGAATCTAAAAAAATACATTCAAAATTGAAAAAAAATTACATTATTATGCTTGGGGTTTAAAACATTCATTGAAAGACTGCAGGGACTTCAGCAGGCAGAAAAAAGATAGAAAATACACACGGAAAAGAGGTGAGAAATGTCAGTGTCGGGTTGTCCAAATTCATTAAGTTAAAAGGTTGTTTATTATTTATTATAATGTGTATAATAATGTTTTCATTGTTAAAGGGTGTATACTTTCAGACATATCAGGGTTAGGTTTAATAATAGATTATAATTAGTCAATATATATTTACTCATTAAAGCAAAAAATCTGTATTTAACGTACAACAGGATAGCAGCAGACAGTCCAGAGTGAGTGTTGCTGCATCTGCGTCAGGACCAATATAGGTAAGAGAGGCAAAAGAGATTCCTACCTCTATTAACATAAAGTATTCACAAAAAAGTCTGAGTGCCCTGGGTTTTCACAAATCAAAGGTGGCGACCCTAGTCTTGGCTCAGCATGCCTATGCCTTGGGTTAGCATGGCAATGACATGCGTAACATAGTTACTGTACGTCTTGAGTTAGCATGGCTATGCCCTGAGGTAGCTGGGCTGTGCCTTTGCTTAGCACTGCTCTGCCTTGGGTCAGCATGCCTATGCCTTGGGTCAGCATGCCTATGCCTTGGGTCAGCATGGCTATGCCTTGGGTTAGTACGACAATGGCATAAGTAGCATAGCTGTGGCATGGGTTAGCATGGCTATGCCTTAGGTCAGCATTGCAATGATATAGGTTAGCATGACATTATTTTGCCTCTAATTCATTTCACACCTGGTTTCATTTATTCATTATAACCTCCAGCATGTCTGGGACCCTCTCTACTCTATTCCAAGGTCTGCACACGTTTTCCATCTTGCTGTAAGAAATCTGAATGTCAGGCCCCACCCACATCAGTGCTAACGGCCCCGATGCTTCATGGCACCCCTGCACCTCAGCTCACTTTCCACCCACTCATCCGCTCCCCAGATGAGCCAGATCAATCCTCAACTCACGGAAGCCACCCCTGTCGCCATCCGGGCTTGGCGAGCGGCCACGAGTGAATCCACAGCTTGCGGAGTGAGGAACACAGGTAGGGAAGCCCTCACGGCAGGGCGAGCCCGAATCTGCTTAGAAAAACACAAAGACAGGACGCCACCTGCACCTCATCATCAATTTAACACACCAGTGTCACTCTAACAGACCCAGAAGAAGGAGAAGCTACCCTGATATCACGATAGTACATGTGCTGTTTCATTTTAAAGACTCGATGGATAGGATAGGGGAATATAAATAATTTTTCAGGTAAGTACATATTCAGGCTGGCTGGGTCATGTCCCCTATCTCACTTTCGGTCAGGTGGAACGATTGGAAGTCATAAAGTAGAGGGTATGTCTGGTTAATTGTCTTAAGAGGCAGTAAAAAGAATCCATGACATACTGAAAAACAACCGCTGTCAGGTATTTCAGCTTTGCGTTTCCTCTTTATTTCCTCTTTATTTCTGGACTTTTATCAAGTCCATAAATATTGCTAACATCAACTAGAAAATTAATAACAAGGCTGCCATTTCCATGACGGGAGCATTAACAGCTAAGGTTTTGACCTCCTGGTGGCTTTTTATAAGTTAAAAAAAAATCACCCAGCGTTCTGGAAGGTCTTACCCATAGCCAAGATGCAGTCCTCACTGAATGAAACATCATCGATGGCCACAATCTCTGTGAGCGGACTGGAGTCATAGAGCTCCCCCTGCAGGATCACCTGGGAATATGAGAAAAAAATCAAACAGGTGCTGGTTAGAATCAGAGTTATATATCGGACTGAAATATATTATATTCCTTTAGCTAAAAGCATCCCCAAATCTGTTTCTATATTCAAGCCATGACTGTTATAAACTGAGAAACAAGTTCTGAAATGATGAATATGAATTAATACTAAAGATGATATGAGATGTGAATATACAATATAAACTGAGTTTGTCTGAAGACGGGGGGATGTAAATAAAACAATGAAAACAGTCAATTACTGAATAATAATAATAATAATTATTATTATTATTATTACTTTTTGTCACTTATCGTTTTTTGTTAATGTTTGTGATATTATTGTTGTAATAAATATCAACTTAATTTGCCAATTGGAAATTGCTGATCCAGCATTATATTTACAGTGCTGACTGTGTTGACTGTGCTGACTGTGCTGACTGTGTTGACTGTGCTGACTGTGTTGACTGTGCTGATTGTGTGGACTGTGCTGACTGTGTGGACTGCCTCTAGTCTCATTGTGACCCTGTAATGGATAAGTGGATATGGAAGGTGGAACTAATTCTACTTAATGTTAAGCTGTTACAGATGGTTAAGCCTGGTTTCAGAAGCAAAATTGTTATGAATATGTAGCAGAATTAAAGAGCTTATTGCTAAATAGTCTTAAGAACAAAGAACATGTTCAGCAGGAGTTTGGTTAAAAGTTACGAGGGGGATGTTTTAATGTCATCGTCACCGCGAGTCCAACAGAAGAATGAGGCCCCTTTCAAGTACAAACTGTTACCTGCTGATCTGTTAAGCCAGGGAGGAGTGTGTGTGTGTCTGTGTGTGTGTGTCTGAGTGTGTGTGTGTCTGTGTGTGTGTGTCAGAGTGTGTGGGTGTCTGAATGACTCGGGTAGCGGATCACTGTGCCGAAATTCTTGCCAGACACCTTTTAAAAAGTCAGCTGGATGTCTGCCCTTGGAAACATTTATCACAGAAAGCAGGAAGCCTCTGCTAAATCCCTGTATGCAGTGGATGAGCAAAGCGTGTCGTTCTGTATGGCATGAACTGGTAGGGAGTCCCAAACTCAGGATCTAAGCCTCTACAGTGGACTAAACCAATCTTGAATCTTGGGGGACACACACACAAATGTGTGAGGGTGTATGGACATATTCTTTGAAGCAACAGACTTTGAGGTTCTTCCCACCATACCGGTAAAGCGTTCTATTCTACCGGGGGGCCACTCGTGCTACCAGAAAGTTCTCACCACTCACTCTCTCTCCAGCTTTTGATCCAAACGGAGTGTCATTAATGAATTGCAGTCATCATGGCGACAGACGATGAAAGGGATCTCCCCCTCGGGCCAGACCCATGAACGTATAAATCGGAATATATAAATCAAACTTCACGTATCAGTCTCGCCTTGATGTGGCGGGAAGCAGAGGGAGACTGTCAGATATTTGGGGAGGCGTGAGAGGTGGGATTCAGGTGGTGGTGGGGGGGGGGGGGGGGCCCCCCAGGGGGGGGGGGGGGGGGGGGGGGGGGGGGGGGGGGGGGGGGGGGGGGGGGCAGACCACATGTTTGGAGAGGAGAGCAGATGGCAGTGGATGAGGAGGAGGAGGAGAAGGAGGAGGAAGGCAGTCTCTAGCGATACACATGGACTCAAGCCGAAACTTCTAGAAATGGGGTCTAGAAATGGTAACGGAAAAATCCACAGAAACCCACAGCACTGTTGACCCAGATGGTCCGTCAAGGATGTCGACACTAGGGCTCCCTTCACCTCGCCTTGGCTGTGTGGGCTGCCTCTGGTCTCACTAGCAGTGACATCATGAAACACCACTACTGACGGGATGGGCGTCCCCACCTGGAAACTGCTGTCACTGCTGAGTAGGAGCACCGTGCGTTGCCAAGGGACCTTGGAAGGGTCCGTCCGGGGTTCCACCAGGGATTCGGATCTCAACCACACTTGGTGGGGTGGGCTGGACCCGGGAATTTGGGTGAGGACCCGCAGAACCCCGTCCACCCTCCCGAAGTAGTGGTAGAAGGTTACCTGTGGTCCAGGAAAACAGCAATGAGATCCGGTCGAGGGCCTGGGCAACTGCATATTGTATCACGGCTATTTTACATATTAATAGGAAATAGTAACCACGTTTTTTAAGTCACCACACTAGCATTATGGAGGACATAACTATAACATAACATACTATAAATAAATAAATGTACAAATTAATCATGAAATATATAAATAAATACACATATAAATTTAGATATAATATAGAAGGTTTGGATATTAGGAATCTATAATAAGGTCTAGATAAGAAATGACAAAGCAATTTGACATGCAAAGTGTACAGTACGGTACTGTTTGATGAGAAATGGATTATATAGTTTTTATGTTATGGTTCAGGTCAACAGACTACTATGGTTTGATGTTAGAGGTGCCTCAATGTAATTCTGCCCCTAACTCTCGCAAATGTGAAGGGGGGGGGGGGTTACTGTAATCCGTTTTCTCTGTTTTAACTGCTTCAGAACCGTATAGTGCATTGAGGGTGAAAAATGAGTGTTGCAAATAAAATGTATTATTATCATTATTATGACTATTATTATTGTTATTATTATTATTGTTGTTGTTGTTGTTGTTGTTGTTGTTGTTGTTATAATTATCATCATTATTATTAGTTCCCCCTCACCTGACAGGCGCTAGTCGGGAGAAAAACTGCGCTTCTTAAATCGGCACGAGGTCGTACCCCGCTCTGACGGGACAGGAAGAGGAAATGACCTGGCAGGAAAGGGCGGGAAGACGTTAAAAACACGAGGTCACACGAGAAGCGTTCTGTGAATACCCACTAGTGGATTATCAGCAAGGTCTTAATAGGCAAATTATGTTCACGTTTTTGGTACATTTGTGCTGTTGTGGGCCTGGTGGACTTTATTTGGAATTTGAAATATCTCAGGTCAACAATAACATAAGAATTAAATAATTATTTATTATAAAAATAAATAAATATATGTATAAGTAATTGTGCTGTTTTACCTAAAATTGAGTCCACAGACATGAACATAATGGTTCAGTTAATCATTTAAAAAGGAATCCTCATCATATACATTATACACAAATCTAAAAATTCATCCTACCTATCTTATCTGACCCTTTGTGTGATTTATAATAGTTCAGTTCTCATTTCAAATTTAAAACCTGTATTTCCGCAGTGGCTGCTTGTGATACTGTGAACATGCTAAATGAATGTGGAATCAGACCGTGGCTGTACCCATCGGCAGTACCTGTGCGCTGCCCCTTGTGGTCATAGGCAGGTCCTACGTCGTTCAGCCCTGAGCTTTGGTTCCAGGTGGCGGGGGCATCAGCCCCGTGGGACATGGAACAGAGCCCAGCCTCAAAGTCACACCCTGCTGACCCGGAGCCTGTAAGGGGTGACAGAGAAAGAGTCAAACCAGGGACCAGCGAATGGATGAGGAATGAGCCGCTGAAGAATTCCCAGCATGCCTTTGTCAGTCAGGGAGCCACCTGTGAGTGTTTTTACATCTCATCCATCATACAAATTGACACATTGTATAAATCGGCATTGTTAGCAGCTTGGCGTGTTTCTATGATCGTACGCTGCATATTAACAATTCCTGTTTCTAATTTGTTGTGGCAGCATGCCGCCACTCTCTGTCTTTCTCTTACATTCTGCTTTCCGGGACTTTTGATCTGTAAACCCCACCTGTTCCGCGCTTGCTGCTCGCTGGTGCCGTTTATAAGCACTTGATCTGGGTTATGCTACACTGATCTGCCAGATGAGTATCACCTGAGGTAATATCTATAGCTGGGCATCCAGCTGCTTAATCTTTGTCCAATCAGCTCTCACGATTTCAAATCACAATCACTTCTATTATATTCTAGTTGTGTTTAATTTTAGTTGCATAGTTATATATTTCATTTTAGCAAAACTCTTATTTTTATTATACTTATTATTTTATTAAGGGCGTATGCAGCATATAGGACAATTCAAGATGTCACGTCATTGCAGTCACAAGAATTTAAAAAACAACAGCACCAAACAAACATATCTTGTACAGTTGTTTTATGTACAGTTTGCTTTTATTTAATGTACTGCACTGCTGAGAGGAAACACATGACCCAAGACTTTCATTCACTAGTTCACTAGTACTAGTAATGTGACAGTAAAAGTGATTTGATTGATTTAATGTGATTTGATCTAAGTACAATAGTATAACAGACTGAAGCTGTTTGAAGACGAGCCCCCAAACGGGGTGTTTTCCAGAAACGTGTTCTAGATCGGTACGGTACCATCAGTGGGGCCAAACTGGAGATTTTTCCAGATGCCCTTTTTGGGCTCCTTAAGCATGGCTCTGCTGTTTAAAACACTGCACTGGTGACACTGATATCTCTACACTGTGATTTATGGTGATGTTCAGATATGAGAACTGCACCACACACACTAACACACACAGGATTATAATTATATCTTTGTGGGGACTCTCCATTCATTTCTATGGGGAAAACGCTAATCCCAACATGACGACCTTAAGCCCTACCCAGCCCTAACCTTAACCATAGGTAACCAAACAAAATATTTTTACTTTTTTGATTTCATTCATAGATCTTGAAAAATGGTCCCCACAACATAAAAAAAACTGGTTTTTATTACATTGTGGGGGCCATTTGGTCGCCACAATGTACTGTAAACCTAATTCACACACACACACACACACCTGTGTTTAACTGTTAAACCAGCACAAACCAGCAGGTGACAGACACACTTTTAGTGTGTATTTATACAGAGGCAGGACATACTTGTTTAACTGTCAGTCGCAAACATGTCAAACACAAAGACGTTCCGCCATCACTCACAGCCCGATCCATCATCGGCGTTCCGGTACGGCTCTGGGATTTCACACGCAGCCTCATGGGGAACACAGACCCCTCCTGGACACTCCGTCTCCCCCGGGCCGCAGCGCCGCTCCGTCGCCACGGTTACCAGGAAGCACAGTGCGCAGAAGGAGCGGGATCCGAGCCCCATGGCACTGACGTCCGGCCCCCGCCTCAAGCCTGGGACAGCAATAAAAAAGGCACACACATGTACAACAAAGGACAAAAAAATTCTGAATATCCCCTCAGCCGACCAGAAAAATAAGCATCTCTCAGTCTGGATCAGTGTGTAACATAAAGCATACTGTTTAGCCCAAACAGCAGCACAATAAAACTTTTACAGCTCATACTTATCAACATTTCCTGCGTGTTCACAGGACTCACTGGCAGACTGTGGGGGTCAAAGGTCAACAGGCGCACGAACAATCAGCTTGACTTTGGACGGAGATAAAGGTCCATAAAAAATGTGGGAATCCGTCTGAGAAACTTGTAGCGTGGGGTGCCACCTGGCTTTCGTAACGGGAATTACGTGCTTACGTTGAGTTAAAGTTTGTGAACCCTGTAAAATACCCAGGATAAGTCTAAAAATGTCGTCCCATCTCAGCCATAAATGAATGCCGTCTCATTTAACAATAAGAAACATCTTCCATTTCTGTAGCTCTACCGAATAAATGGTTTAAACAATATCACTGATGGAAAAAGTATGTGAACGATTAGCTGTACCAGAATCTTCTGGAGCTGCTAAACAGACCTGTGCGTTCACTGTAAGTGACTTATTCACATCATATGCATTTGGGTTTACTTTTAATTACATAATTTTGGTCCAAGATTGCAGGTATAAAATAAGATAACATAAGAATTAATTTGGAATAATTTCTTAGCAAGTAGACCTCACAGAGTTTTGAAAATGAGGAAAATGTTAAATAAAAAAAACAAAAAAAAAAAGAGAGGCCAATTACTGAATGACACTTATCCTCAGTGGTGTAGCTGGAAGGTCTGGCCCCCTCTGACACAGGTCACCTTGCGCTCTACCACTCAGTTTTGTGTATTATTCTATGGCCCCTATCAAGTGCTGGGCCACCTGAATCTGCCAAGGTATCTGTGCCCCTTGTCATGTCCTGCCCTGCCTGACCCTCCTGTCTCCTCCCTGGCGTGGCCCTAATGAGCCACGCCTGCTGATCGTTTGTCTCACCTCTCATTTCAGCCCTTGTGTTAATCGCTCCAGCTGCCCTTTATTTTCTCCCTCATCAGTCCTACATAAGAGTGTCTCCCAGTCGCGTGCTTCCCAGTCCTGTCATTGAAGTCATTCCTTGTATGTGCGCCCGTGTTTATCCTGTTTGACCCATCGTGGTGTGGGGTGGTGTGTTTTGGTTTTGCCCTGTTTTAGTACCCTTTTGAATAAAGGCCCTTTTTCTTTACGGTGCCCCTGCCTTGGACTCAGTGGGTTCGAAACGTGACACCCCTACTTTGCCACTGCACATTCTTAACCAAGTTCAAACACTTAATTAGCAAACTGTTGTGTAAGAACCAGCAAGAACACATCCCCTACCAGAGACTTGCATAATGAAAATCTAATGCCTATTGTCTAGTGAGACCAGTGGTTTTATATTCTAATGCTGGGGGACCTGTTTTATTTTTAAATTTAATTATCTTTTATGCCTCCCAGTGAGTCTTTTATTCCAGCCCTTTAGATTAATGGCCCTTTCAGAAGGGAGATCTGATGCCATGGTGGAAGAAAATGCCAGTACCAACATTAAAAACATATTAATCTTCCACTTGGACACCGCACACCCCTGTGGAAAAAATGAGGGTGTGGCTTAAAGCTCCAGTGCACCCGATCTGTCACTCTGTCCAGCCCTGGCTTGTTTTATTAGGGCGTGCAGGACCTGTGATGTTGCAGAGGTGCTTTCTGAGTTGAGCTGAAGAGGGAGGTGGATAAACTAATGCAGACATGAGCTGCATGGAATAAAGCAAGAGTCAACGAAAACTAATGCTGCACTGATGTGGAAATTTTGGCCAATACTGACAACCAATATTTTTTTGTCTAATATCGCCAATTCTGATAATTGGCTAACCTTTGAGCAACAGAATTCTGTAGTGAAATTGACGTCGGGTAACGTTACTTGCGATCCTGTGAATATGTTTAGTAGACACATTACATAATGCAGGCAAGGGTATGTCAGCAAAGAGACACTGACTTGGGAAACTGTAGCTAGGGTGTAAGTGGGGCATGGTGGAATCCCACGTGCTCCACTATAGACAATGACTGATCATGTAATGCAATCATCAGCACCATTAATTTAGTAATTGATAAGCCAACATCAGCCAATGATAAAAAAACATATTGTGCATCTACAATGAAGACAACTACAAACCAACAAGTCAATGGAAGACAACTTGAAGGTAAACATTTTACTTTCAGTTCTGCTAATAATTCAGACTTTATTAAGCTATTGATTGACTTCTCAACTGGAGAAATGCGTGGCCTGCTCTCTCAGTGAGGGATTGTAGTAAAGAATACAAATGTTTGCTTCATTTTAAGCATATTTCATTGATAAATGGTTTGAATATAAGTGTATGAATATAATATATAGAAGTGTATGAATACAATATATAGTGGTTAAGCTTTAAATAGCACAAATTGCATTTCTTAGCAGAATGCTTCAGAGTGACACAAAGCGAGGATGCCAGTCCATCGCAGGGCACGAGGCAGGGGGACACCCTGGGGATGCCAGTCCATCACAGGGCACGAGGCAGGGGGACACCCTGGGGATGCCAGTCCATCACAGGGCACGAGGCAGAGGGACACCCTGGATGGGATGCCAGTCCATCACAGGGCACGAGGCAGGGGGACACCCTGGATGCGATGCCAGTCCATCACAGAATATACACTGATAATCACACACTATGGTCTTTGGGAAGGCTTAACTCACATTTTTAAAAGCGAATGCGTTGCCCCGCCACTTTAACCACTTCATAACGGAGGGTCTCATTCATCACGCAGATAAGCTGTGAATTTTGGAACCCACCACTTTGTCTTGATCTGTCAAAGGGCCCCATTTATCTCTGACAGAAAGGTAAACAGAACCACGCATAATGGGGACAGGAGGAAGGGCAGGAACTGAAATCAGGAAAAGGGGTCTGGACGTCAAGTCTGGGGTGGAGGAAACAAAGTCTACTGAATATCTTTGGTAACTAGATCTAGGGGACAGAATAAGCTAATCATCTGACTGTGACTTGCCTTGGGGTTCTGTATCCAATCTTTAATAAGAATTATTAATTATAATTAACTGTACCCTGACTTTGGCCACACAGTGAAGCAGCAGGATGGCTGTTCATCCTGTTAATCCACAGTCACCCTCGATCATCTCCCTAAATCATCTGGACAGGCTCCTGGCTTTGGGTGGCCATCATGAATCCAGAGTCTGAGGAAATAACTACGCAGGTATCATTAGTCCCAGTCAGCAGCCTCTCCGGCACTATGACACCAATGTAACAGCATTCAGCGCTAATCGATAGCAAAAGGACACCCAGAGTAATTCAGCACTCATGGGAATTACAAATGAATGTAACCTTGAAGTAAGAGGGAGGATGAACAGTCAGACAATGGATTATACAGCGGCCAGAACGCTGGATGCAGTGACTGCCTGCCGCGTCTAACTGTAATGATTTTAACATGGATAGTTTCACGACTCATAACCCCGACAAACCTCCTCCTTCGCCTCCTCGACTTCCGGAGGTTTGCCAGCTGTAATGGAACGGCAAGTGTTTTTCTCCCTGGAAAAGCGGACTGTGGTTTACAGACTATACCCTTTCATGTAGGGAGAGGGAATGTGGTGACCTTCGGCGAATATTTTTAACAAGCAAGAACAGTGCAACGACGAAAACTCACACACGTTCTAATGGTCTTTAAGGCCAGTAAAATCCTTTAGATCTTTCTGCACTACGGAGCTGCAAGAGATGTTAACTGGTCAAAAAAAAAAATGAGAAGGATATAATTTAGAGGGAAAAAACACCCTGTGATGGGTTGGCGCCCCATCCTGGATTGGTCCCTACCTTGCAGCAGTAGCCTCCGGATTGGTTCTGGACCCCCCCCCAAACCCTGTATAGGACAAGCAGTTACAGAACATGGATGGATGGAAAAAAAACACCTCACTCATACAGCCAGGCCCCCACAACTGAGATGATGCATTACATTTATTTAAACCAAAGATGTGCAGATGGGAATGCAGGTCAGCCAGTCCCAGCAGCAACTGGGGCTAATTAAGTGTTTGAAAGAGCCGTGCTTAAGGGTTCAACAGTGACATCATTCTGCCAACCCTGGAATTTGAACCAACAACTTTCCAATCATGGGGACAGCATCAAACCCATTCAGCCACACACTACCCCAGACAAAAGCATTAATCTGTAATACATACTAATTCAGATTCAGATGCTTTATTGCCATTGTTGTTCCCACAGCCACAAAATTTAAAGGTGCATCCTCTCCAGTGTCACGACATCAAAACAATAGACAGATTAGTAAAATTAAAACAAAATAAATACAACAAATAAAAAAACAACAAATAAATAGACCAACAGGATAAAGTCCATAGTCATAGTCCATAGTTTTCCATAGAAATTAGAGTCTGATGCTAAATAGCTGCTTATACACAAACATTTCATGTGAGCATGACTACGTCTTAAAAACTGCACAGCCTGACATGTCACATACACATTCGCTGCTCTGTAATACAGATACAGATACGATCTTATCTGCACTGTGATGAATCTTTCAGTTCAATGTAAGCAGATACAGCAAAACCCAAAGAGAAAATTTAAGGTCTTTGCAACAACCCCCCCCCCTAGATGAAAGCCACTTTTAATGACAAAAAGGGTCAAACCTCAACACTCAAGATGAAAGACAGCATAGGTCCCTTGGCAACAGTAACTACAGTAACCACAGCAAAGGGCTCACATATATAATCCATTCATCCATCTTTCGGCTGCTTATCTTAATCTGGATAGTAATGCCTGGCAGTGAACGTCCTGTGTGGCAATTTAGACACACTAATTATCCAGTTAACTGCGCGTCTTTGGACTGCAGGAGGAAAACATGCAAACTGCAGGCATACAGAGCGGAGGTAGGATTCAAACCCACAGCCCAGTGACCCACCTCACTTGTGTCTTATTTTATATGCCCCCAAAAGACTTCTTTTTCCAGACAATGAAACTGCCTTGGGATGAGAAAGGCCACAATCGAGGCTGATAAGCCTGTGATGGTTTTGTCAAAGAGCAGTTTAGACTCTATGCAGAAAAAGGCTTGTCAATCTGAATTATTCCTCTCCAACACTGGGAAAACTAAACATAAGCCATATGTAACCTTCACTAAACCATTCCGATTTGACAGCAAATCCAAACAAGGAAGTTCTGTGTGCAACAGTTGCATATACGCATATCCAAAAGCAGCACAGCGATGAAGCTGAGAAGATTCTGGAAAGAGCCTGCCCCACCGGCTAATCGTTTATCTCCGTAATGGCTATTCCATCCCTCAGGTTTCGAATATCCTGTTAATTACCACATATTAATTAAAAAAAACAAGAATGTGGAAATTACATTTGCTGCCCTTTATTTTGGGGAGCTGAGTCAGTATAGCAGGATCTTGGCTGCATGAAAGAGTGGAAACAATACAGGGAAGATGACCCATTTATTAATTGATCAGTTTTGTCTGAATCTCGATGTACATCATTTCCATTCCAGCCAGGACTGGGATCTGCGCTTGGATGGAAGTGAGCAAAAGAAACCCCAACTGCCACGGAGGTGACAGCGGGTGTGACTGATACTAGCATGTCAGCTGATACTGGTTAAGCTGAATATTAACACCTTTTCCTCTCCAGCACCCCAACGCAGGGTTAGAAGCTATCTTGGAAAAGAGAAGGTAATCTTCTCATTTCATTCTACCCTCTATAATGACATGAAATATCTAGAGGACAAAAAGATGTTTTATATCACAAAAAAGGCCGTTGTTGAGTTACCAGTATCATCATCATCATCATAGAGCCCAGCAACGAACTGGCCTCCCCTCCCCTGTGTTATTTGGGATTTCCACTGTGACCCTGTGCTGGATATCCAGTTGAAAGGATGGATGGATGGATGGATAGATGAATGGATAGATGGATGGATGGATGGATGGACAGATATATACCAAGGATATGGATTACAACAGTACAATAGTGTTTCTTAACCCAGTTCTTGGGAACCCCCAGACAGCCGGAGGGGTAGATTGAAATTCTGGGCCTCCTTACAAAATACCTCCTTGCCCCCACCCCATTTTTATGTATTACACTACATTTTTAATGGCCCTGTAAAGTGCTGGGCTCCCAAAATCTGTCAGGGTATCCATGCCCCTACTACTGTACACAGTCCACACTTTTATGGTTAAAAACACCCACATGTACTGTAGCTCGGTAATGCTTAATGAAGTCTTGGACTTCTGCCAAGTATAGATGCGTCTAAATATTATTGCATAACCACCAGAAGCTTGTGAGAATCGACTTGACAGTCATTAACACTAACCTGAAGCTCACACACAGATATCCACAGGCTACAGGAAAACAGGGAAACAGCGTCTTTTGAAAAGGACTTCAGAGAGGTCATAAATTTGTAACTTCCTCTCCGCTACTCTGGTGACAGCCTGAAGGAAACCACATTTCTTTCCAAAGCCATCAAGGAGGACATTTTGCTTGCCTCTGGCAGGTAATACTGTGTTCCACCTGTTGATTCGAGGGTGCCGTTGAGCAGCTGAAAAATAACCTTTTAAGGTGTGCTGAGAATAGTGCAGGACTCTCAGGCTTAAAGAGGAGCTGGAAACCTGAAGAAAATGGAAAATAGTGTTTGAGGTTTTACATCTATGTCATGCTAGAAGGCAACCGGAGCGCAGACAGAAGCGCAGGACACCAGGAGTCGGGGAGAATGTGGGATTTAATCAAAGTAGAAACAGACGAACAGGCAGCAACACAGGTTGACAATACAATGACCGGACTGGGGAAACAAACTGAAACGCGGACTAAATACATAAAACTAATGACAACAACAAGAAACAGCTGATCACACTGGGATTCCACACGAGGGTAATGAGGGGGCGTGGCACACGGAAGGAGCAGACGATCGGGGCAGGACAATCTATATATGCACGTAGCCAAGTGGCCAGTCTTCACTGAATGCACATTCCATCAGTAATAGAGTGTGAAGGTTAAATTAGCAGAGAAATAATCAGATGTACATAAAATATCCAGCTGTACATAAGAAGATCCACAGGAGCTCAGCAATTACGAACCTCTCTAACATACCATGGAGAAGGTCGCTGCTCAACTTCAGTCATACATAGAGACACACAACATATTGCATAGTTTCCAGTCAGGTTACTGCCAGGAACACAGCACTGAAACTGCCTTAAATAAAGTCGTAAATATCATAACAATGCCAACAGATTCTGACAATGCAACTACTTCTAGACCTTAATACAGCCTTTAATTGTCATGAACTTGGGAATGGTGTTGAAATGGCTTCACCCTGATTGACTAATCAATATCAATATGTTCAAGTGCTGGATAACTGTGTCCATCATCAATGTCACCGGTCAAATATGGAGTGCCACAGGAATCAGTTCTTAGTCCTTCGTTGTTTTCTCTTTACATAATGCCATTGGGTAACATAATGGGAAATGACGACATGAAATGAAACATAATGGTGACGCCCAAATACAGTGGCACCTTGGAACACAAATGTAATTCATGCTAGAAGGCTGTTTCGTTGAGGTCCATGTCGAATTTTTCCATAAGAAATTATGTAAATGAATTTAATCCATTCCAGACCCCCAAATGATTAGCTATTTAAACTTATCTACCTACCTAACTAATGAAAAAAAAAACATTAACAATCAATATAAAAGTAATACACACACGAAGAAGCACACACCTAAGCATTAACATGAAAACAATTACAATTCCATACTTCGAAGAGAGAGCAGACACATGTGCACCACCTTCACCTTTCACTGTAATGTTCTTTTTAAGTTATACAGTTACTCATATCATCCAAGTAAATCACATAACCATTCATCCAGGTTCTTACCTGCCTATTCCAGGAAGTAGAGGGTACAGGACATGGGACATCCTGGACAGGGTGCCAGTCCATCACAGGACACACAATCACACACTATGCGCGGTTTAACGTTGGAAATTCACTTAATTTATTGCGCTGCAGGAGAAACAAAGAGTAGTTAGAAGAAACCATAGAACATGGGGAGAAAGGTCCTTAAGCAAGACCCTTAATCCCCAGCTGCCTGGGTGCTGCTATGGGTGGCCGCCCTTCGTGGACAACTTACTCCACAAAAGAGAAAGTTGAGGGAGGTGTAAAGACAGTTTCCCCATGGGGATTAATGAAGTATCAATTAACTCTGGTGTTTGTGCAGTCTGGCCTCAGTCCAAACCACACCTACTGCAGCCTGAGAAGCAGGAAGTTCCTCCCACTCTCACACACAGACGACTGCGAGTGAAAATGAAACTGAATCCTATCAGTCCTCGTGGTAAAATGGCAGAAGCTAATGTCGCACTGGATCAAAACCAGTTCAGCTGTCCAATCTGTCTGGATCTACTGAAGGATCCAGTGACTATTCCCTGTGGACACAGTTACTGTATGAGCTGCATTAAGAGCTGCTGGGATCAGGAGGATCATGCTGGAGTTTACAGCTGCCCCCAGTGCAGGCAGACCTTCATACCCAGACCTGTTCTGGGTAGAAACACCATACTGGCTGAAGTGGTGGAGAAACTGAAGAAGACTGGACTACAAGCAGCTACTCCTGCTGACCATTATGCTGGACCTGGAGATGTGGAGTGTGACGTCTGTACTGGGAGAAAACACAAAGCTGTCAAGTCCTGCCTGGTGTGTCTGGCCTCTTACTGTGAAACTCACCTCCAACTTCACAATAAGCTGCCCCGCACAAAACAACACAAGCTC